CGGAGATACAGAGCTAAATATGCAAAAAATTGCAGTGTTTGAGAGAATAGTGCATTCGATTTGGATGATTCAAAAATATTTCTGTTTGTGTTGACCAAACAATTGCTTTTGGGTAATTTTTTTTTTTTTTTTAATTTTTTTGACACCATCGGTGTTTAAACGCTCACTGTGGATAAGCACTCGATTAAAAAAATGAAAATAAAATTTGAACTATCTACAATACGACAGAATATATTTTTAAATGTTGTAAAAGAAAATTTAAAGGTTTGAAAAAGGCTCGGAAACGATCGACCTTGTGAAAAATTGTCTTTTTTTTAAAAAAAAAATGATAACTTTGTGAATATCAACAATAACTAAGTTTTTTTTCCACGAAAATAACAAGCATATACAATATTTTTCGAATAAAAAAATGACAATATTGGGTACTCCAATGGTGTCGTTGAGGTCTAGCAGACTCCAGGTGTACGAGAAGGGATAAACATAGTATTTTATTTTGATACCCAGAGTTTCAGTGATCTTCTTTTATTTATTTTTTAATTTATGGAGCGAAATTTTAGCAAATAATCTGCTGAAAGAAATACTAAAAGAAAATAGTCTTTGGCAATGATAATGATTATGAAAAGAAACTTCATACATTCTTCTTGCATTTGCTCAAGATGAAATAGTAGACTTTTTCACCAACTTATATATGTTATATTGCATATACACATGTACGTGTACTAAGTTTTTCTATTCTGTGTAAAACTTTAGAAACTTGAAAACTTTTCATATCCAATATTTTGTAATAATATTGCGCTTTCAAACGTCTTTGTTGAAATAAACTTTTTTAATCGCAATCAAAAGGTATTTTGTTATTTTTCTTTTGAAGAATCTCATTTCGGAATCATTGTCGAATGATGATAATAATAAACTAAATCGATGGCATTAAAAATTAAAAAATCTTTAAAATAAAAGAAACTTAAGGCATATTTTTAAATTCATTTTATTGTTGTTTTCTCTCGTAAGTCACCCAACATTTGCATTTTGCTTGATCTTTGTTGTGGTTAATTTTTATTAATTTTGTTCATTTAAACTTTGGGACCATAATCGTGAATAACATTTCTAGTACTATAGTAGCATAAAATTGCCCCAAATATTCAAGAATTAAGATTTTTTATTAAACTATGAATTTAATTTTCGGTCTTACAACTTTGAGAGACTTTGAGAAGGTTTTCTTAAGAAAAATATCCTAAAGTGTGCTGGCAAGTTTCATCAAAAGTTGGCGCATTTAATCAGAATTGTAAAAAAATAGTAAAATACTTATAAATTTTATTATTATAACGTTTCGAGTAAAAAAATAAAAACAGATAAAAACATGGTTTTTCTTAAAACCTTCACATTTTCGTTGTAACCACTGAAAACGCCTTTACGCATTACTTTATTAGGGGAGGAACTAGAATGTTATGATTCTCTTTCTTAATTATACTTTTCACTCAATTGGTTCCATTTGCTCTATTTCTTTCTATGTAACGCAAGTGTGTGATTATATGTATTACATATACAAAATCATGAAGTATTCATTTTTTATCGATATTAGATTTTGACTCTTAGGAGTTCGTTTCGACTATCAACTCTATAAACATGAGAAGTTGTATCAAATTCCCAGACGAGTAAATATGAGATTCTTGTAAGTTGATACTATTTGAATATATGGAGAAAAATCTTTATTGAAAATATCGCTGGCTTGAAGTTAACTTTTGAGCTAAAGTTGCTTTGGTAAAAAAATTTGAAATGATTCATAAAACCATAATTGCAATGTGCCATCAATGGGTAAAAATTTGACCCACCCTAATATAATCAAAATCGAACGTGGAAGATTCACCACATTTCATTCGACACGTTTCACATATTTGCGCCTGATCCAACCAATTTTTTTATTATTTTTTTGTTGATACGAATATTTGTCGAATACATTACTAATTTTGTTATTTATAGAATCATAGTGATCTCATCCTTTATATCGTAAACTGAATCTTATGTAAAGTATTCTCATAAATATAGTATCTTTCCTATACCTATAGAGCTCAAGCAAAAGACGTCTACTATATTATTAAATTATGTTTCTTTGAATTGATCCGACGACCTAGAACCATAAATACGGTCAGCGTGTATATGTCGTTGATTGGATTCCATTTAGAATCGTATTACGCGTTAAGGACGGAACTATTGGGAAAAATATTCTATGTATTCCATCATCTTTTGTTGTTATGCATTTTAACAGGACGCTTTTTATAACAATAGTCTATATATAATTAATAGTCTTAGCATTAACTAGAAAAATATAAATCTTAATGAAATAAAAAAAATCATAAATGAGCAAGATACTGCACCATTTTTTGATACATATATGGACCAATTCGCGGATAAAAAAGAAATGTTTTGTTACGGGTCTGTAATCCTATGAGTTGTTAGATACCAACTGCCAAAAAGCTATGTGTTTGCTATGCGATCAGGCGTTTTACACATAAAACTCAACCTCCAAAAGGCACTTAAAATGTCAAATACCAACTTCATCATAAGTGCAACAATCAAATATATGCAACCAAAAAAAGTACAACTTTCTGATGTCACTTTCATAACACATGCGTGAAGTCTAATCAAATTTAATATTTTAACGTTTTTGCCTTTTGGAGGTTAGGTTTTATATGCAAATAACTACTCTATCGAACAACAAAGACATATATGTCTTTATACACACAGTTTTTTGACAGTTTGTGACTACCAAGTCATACAATTATAGACCTGCAACCTAACATTTCTATTTTATCTGATTTAATTTAAAAAAAGTTAAATGATTTAAAATATTAATTGGCTCTCTCTCTCTCTTTAATTCAAGGTGGCACAAACATTACATTATTCAATTAATTTATGGTATTTTTTAAATATTAAAATAGCATTAAATAGTGAAGCTGTTTTTGAATATAATAATTATTCCTACATTGTTTAATAAATCTAAATATAAAGATATATTTATTGTCTTTACTTGACATTTTACTAAAATGAAAATATTCTCTTAAAATATATTTTGTTGTATAATTTTCTTTAAATATTCGTTTACAGATATTACAACTTTAAATAAATATATTTTTAGAATATAATTTTATTAATATTATTAATTAGTATGGCATTACTATTTTAAACTCATACGATTTTAGTTAATTTTTCTATTAATGGTGAGGAAGAAAGGGGTCATAATTGATTTATATTTTATTACCTGAAAAAACGTGGATCTAAGAAAATTATTACTTGTTTTTTAACTCATTCCAAACACTTTTGATGTAAAATTTGTAATTTGATGAAACATTTTACGTTTTTTTAATACTGTGCTTTTCAGAAATTAATTGTATCGTATTTTACCACATTGAGAAAATAATTAACCTACAGTTCAAGTGGTTTAAACAGTTCAATTCAATAATTAAATTTGATTGATTCAAGAAGATCTTGATCATGATGCAGTTTTGAGATCGATATTTTCATGTTATAACTTTCCTATAAAATTTCTTTCATTTATTTGAATTAAATGAAGAAATTAATTTTAATGAATTATTAATTTAATGTTTTTACCTTTACCTTTGTAATAGTAAAGAAGTAAAATTTGATTTATTGCTCTTTATAATTCATGAAATTAAAAGAAAGTAAACAAAACTATTTCGTATAAATAATTAAATTTTTTGGCGCACAATCCTATATCAGCCTAAAGAATAATATTTTTATTTAAGTGAATAACCTAATATAAAAATATTTCTTAATATTAAAATTAGTATTATGCATTATATTTCTTAAAATAAAATTTTTGCGTAAATACATTGATTATAATTTCGATGATTATAATCATTTAATTATAATTTTTAATTGATTATAGTTTTTATGTTTTTTCCACTAACAAGATGTGAGATACATGATGCTTTATTTCGAGAAAGAATATTGTTTTCTAAACCAATCTATTTTTTTAATTATTTTTGATTATGACAATTACAGAAATAATAAAATTTCTGAATTACGAAATAACATGACTATAATTTTTAAACAATTGGTCAATATTAAAGTTATTAACATAATTTATTTTATGATTATTATATCTAAGTTATGAATTATGGGCTCGATTCTGCCGCATAATAGAAAAATGTTATGGCAAAGGTCATGTTATGAAGAACTTTCCATACTAAATATTAACAAAAGCCATGTGGTTGCTGTGCAGTCAGGCTTTTTTCTTGGGTTGTCAGATAGAAAACCAAACCTAGAAACCGCACAAATGTAGAAAAAAAACGATGTTAGATAACAGGGTTTTTCTGACTCAGGTTCATAACATACGAGTGACGTTGCGGTTTATGTATAAAACGCCTGAATACAAAGTAAATACATGATATTTTGCCGTATGCAGTATGATTCAGTAGCATAATGTATGGAAGTTGAAGCGTAACATAGCCTTGCCATAACATGTTTCTGTTATGCGACAGAATCGGTTCCTATATTTTGATTTTACATACGCTATTTCGATTTATATTTTAAGTATTTGATTCGATTTTCATTTTAACACATTCACTGCTAACCTTGTGTTACTTATACTTCTCTATGTGCTAAACTTTGTTATTTGTTAAATATAAAATAAAGTAATTTATGATTGATTGAAACCATCTGGACATGTTAAAGGGAAATTTAAAAAAAAATGTGCGAAAATAGGTTAAATAGGGCTATTTATGTTTAAAATAGTTGTTTAATTCAAGCATTTTATTTTTATTAAAATATTACTCTAACGTTCAAGAAAGGCGAACGCATCTGTTGCGTTCGGCGCCTGGCTATTGAAAACAGTCTCACGCACCATATGCGTTCGCAACAGTGAATGCGTTAATTTACTATTAGGCTATTACTTTCAAGTAAATTAATTTATACAATTTATAATATCCCTCAAGATATGTATTCTATTCCCTCTAATTCAATTTTTCTGACAATTTCTTCCACAGAAATCAAGCCGAAATGGCGCACACATGTCGTGGCACCATATCCCTGCACGGGGCCCTCATTCACACTGCGGACTCCTGCACGTTTGTCATTTCAAATGGGGGCACCCAGACGTTTCACATTAAAGCTGGGACTGAGGTAGAAAGACAAAGCTGGGTGACGGCTTTGGAATTGGCTAAGGCGAAGGCTATGTAAGTTGGGAAATAGAAGTTTCTTTTTTTTAATAAAATAATTTTATTCGAAGTAATAAAAAAGATAATCTTATTTGAAGGAATTAATTATTAATGATTATGAATGATTAAACTTATTTTTCTGTCAGGCTTGTAATGTTTCAAAAATTTCAGCCTAATTGGTAAAAATAAAACGCTTCAAAATATACTAATTTATTTTAATGTTAGTTGTTTCGCTGTCGACCAAGAAGAGAATTTATTTTACATAGTTTTTACATTAAAAATAATATAAAATGGCGGATACATGTTTATGGTGGGAGAAGTAATGGCGCGATATTTGAATTATAAAGTACATATTGCATTACATATAACATCACAACATATAAAATTCAGTAATATAATTTTATCCACTATTGTACATTTTATAGTTTGTTATAATCAAAAAAAAAATGATTGTAATTGCAATGAATAGTGATGTGCCAACGCGAATTAAGTAATTCGGATCATTCGAGTCAAGCTTTTAATTTATATCTCATTCTATTGTAATGTTCTTCTAACTGATTTCTTCATTCTTCTTTATTTTCTAAATCTGATCTTCTTGAATTCTAATCTTGTTTTTACTTCTTACTTCTATTTTTTTATTCAAATTCAACTCAACTTAATTTTGATCTTCTCTAATTCTAATCTTTTCTTGATTTTCAAATTCTACTTAATATATATTTATTTATAATATCATAAATATCCCAATCGTTGAATTGTGGTTTTTGGGTAATTGCTGATCTTTTTTTTTTTCACGTACATACTAAGCTAATTAAGACAAAAGGGAATTGCAATATTTAAATGACATTGTTAAGATAATAAACTCATATATATTATTAAGGTTACCATATTTTTCAAGTCAAAACCGGGACGGTAAAAAATTTAAGGGTTTTAAAATAACAAATACTATTAAAGAATGCAATAAAAATCCGACTTTTTTAAATGAGTTTTTTTTTCGAATCGAACTTTATTATTCGGTTATATGTTATATTTTACATTATATTTTTGGATCTTTGTTTTTTAGCTCTCAAATTTGTTGTAAAATTTTGTTCATTTTTTTTCATAATTATTCAAAAATAATTAAGACTTATTTCACGCGGTTAAGAAATTCATTTTCATAATTTTTGTAAATTTTCTAAAAATTTAAAATAAAAGTTCAAAATTATGAATGTGAGAAGCTATTTTAATCCGCCTTTTTCATATAAGCATACTACTTGTACATAACATTTTCGGATAGTTGTTATCGGGTAATTTAGAGAATTCTCATAATGAGAATTTATAATTAAATTTAATTAGTTAATATTAAATCCATGAATTAACTCGATTATGCTCTTATAACATTTTATACTTGCAATTATCATTAAATGAGATTTTTCAATATTATAATACTTGAAATAGCTTATAATGATCGACTATTAACACGGTAAAAGAAAATATAGCGAATTGAAATCCGAAGTACAAGCAGTAAAGACGTGGAACTATTTTTCATTTGAGTAACATAGGGTAGAAAATTCATCTATACTATAAATATGGTTTTTTCATGTACGGATAATAATAATAATTTGAATTTTTTCATATATGTTTTAAAAATGACAGCAAATTTTAATTTCGTCAAAATCTGTCAGAGTACTCAAACTCACTATTCATGTACTATCTTTAATTTTTATCTCTTATGTATACAGATCTTATCATTTTCTAGTACGTGTACAAATCTATGTACAAATGCATGATATGAGGTTAGTTTAGTACAATTTTCATATTTAATTATGGGTTTTGACAATTAAATGTCAGTTCAGAAATTTTAAACGTTTAAAACTTACAGCAGCGGATGTAACATTAAATTTTAAGTTCAAGTGTAAATTAAATTGATAAGTGTATAATGTAAAAGTTTTTTAGTAAAAACTATGACGAACCTAATTTTCGGTTACCATTCATCTTTTACTTATTCAAGACCGGTTGCAAAATGTAAAGTCGCGCCGAAGTCATGAATACCTTTTGCTGTTTTTATAAGTAAATATATTGAAATTATTATAGTGTACAGATTTTTGTTAGTCATTTTTTATTTTTTTACATTATATATTTTGTTACCTTTTACATGTTTTAGAAATTTAAAGTTTATTAAAGTTAAGAAATGTGATTTATGACCCTAGTCGTGCCATTGAGAGCGAGGAAGAGGAGGAAGACAATACCACCAACACCAAACCCGCCGAGGAATTGTATTTGGTCATACGAGAACTTTCATCAAGGTAAATAAAAATAATTATTAACTAGATGTAAGTAGAATTTTACTTAAGGCAGTGGTTACCAACCTACTCATACCCCCATCCATATTTTTTGAAAAATAATGTTGCGCCCCTTAATTTTTCTAACAATCTTATTCTATAAATACTCTATTGGTATTAAAATACATGAATCCTGCTACAATTTAATATATAACTAGTTAGTATTGGTATTTTGCCTTAAGGCAAGTTTCATGAACTTCTCGATATGTGTAAATAATCGACTTAAACAATAAAAAATAAATTAATTTATGAGTGATTAAAAGTATTCCGAGTGGATTTATTACACATTATTCCGAGTGGATTTTTTTTATGAAAACATAAACTTCTCCTTCGATAAGTTAATTAATCTAATGGAATCATATTTTTCTTTACAGGTTAGAAGATTTACAAACCTGTGCAGAATTGGTGTCAAAACATGGTGCGGCCTTGCAAAGGGCTCTTAACGAATTGGAGCAGACTGAAGAAGTAACGTTAAAATCGAAAGCCATCACTGAAAAGACAACGTTATTTAGGATAGCATCTACTGCTATGATCAATGTAAGTTAATTATAATTAATACAAGTATATTGGATTTATTAATTTATAATATCATCACGCCGTTGCTTAAAAACAGTAAATTCGAAAAAAAAAATATTCATTTAGCACTTCTTTTGTTAATGCTCTTGATAAGGTAATACTACTCCGATCACCCAATTACATACATTGCTTTTGATTTGAACAAAAAAAATCTAACTTATTTGGCTTAACGAACTTTAAGAGTAGGTACTCAATTTTCTGTAAATACTTCAATTTGGTTCATAAAGTTTTTGATATTTGATTCTATTTACTGATATATAGAAGAATTAAAAATAGTAAAATGGGAACGTACAGATTTTTATCCTTGTTTAAAAATTTCCTAAATTCATTTCGCTGATAATTTATTTTGAGTCTAAATCTTTTAACGGAATTTAGATTTTGATTAATTCTTGAACTTTTATTTATTATCTATAGTATTTATTTTTAAAAAAAATACTGGTTTAGAAGTTAGGTGAGACATTATTTAAAATTTTAGCACATGGTGCACGGTCCAATTATCAATACAACAATTATTGTATATATTAATGCTCGTTTTTTTAAATGTTAATGTGAGACATTTTTAGTTAATTTTATATGTTTTTCTTTATTTCCAGGCGTGTAAAGAATATCAAGCAACAGCTCAAGCTCAGGGACACAAGTGGTCAAAAATGTTACAACACGAAAGAGACCAAAAGTTGCACCTGGAGGAAATGGTCGAACAACTTGCAAGACAACATTCGAATTTGGAGAAAGCCGCCACTAGACACAGACCAAGTGAGTGATTTTATTTTTTTCTATGAGGTCCGCCAAACAACTTTTTTTGAAAAAAATGCTGAATATTTTTTCAAAGTTCTTCTTTTATGTGAAAGTACAATCTTTCCGGTAAATCATGAAAAAAAATAAAAAGAGGTCTATAGCAAGAACTAAAAGAACTATATATTCTTAGAACAAAATTAAAAAAAAGTTCGATGGCGGACCCTGCGCGATTTCTTTTTTTTGAAATTTTGCAATAACTGTTTGCAATTTGTCGCGTTATCGACTCGACTCTAGATTACCTGTCAATTCTTATGAAAATTTCTTACCTTGGCTACATTAATATATCAATTAATGTATTGACATTTTCACGATATACTATGAATAATATAAATACATACTGAATATTTTTGAAATATTAAATAGATATTAAAGATACAAAGCAACAACTAAAAATGTATGACATTTTTAGTTGTTGCTTTGTTTCGGCGATTTATATTATAGAAAACGAGCAATAAGAATAAATTCTAAATCTAACCTAATTCTAAAAAATTCATTGATTCTTCGGAAATTTTTCATAAATTCAAAATTTTTTGCCCGGTGCACACGACGCCAGTATTTTTTGTAACATATTTTATGTTAAGTTTTTATCGTACAAATAAACTATTTTATTAGAATGTAAACATAAAACATATATGTATTAGGATAAATCTATGTGTTCATGTTATCTCATATTTATTAGAATAAAATAAAATAATAATAATAAAAAATATTAAATTGCTAGAGTTATATTTTACGTTTAAATACGCTCACTGTACGATAAAAGCTTGACAGAAAATATGTTACAAGAAATACTGGCGTGATGTGCACACGATGCCAGTATTTCTTGTAACATATTTTCTGTCAAGCTTGTAAGTTGAACTTACAGGTAACCCCCGCATAACACGGTACTTTTATAAGACGGATTCACTCTAACACGGGTTAATAATTGAAACCATCCCCCTTATAACACAAACTATTTTTTGGAACGTATCTACTGTGTTATACGGGGGTTACCTGTATGTAAAATATAACTCCAGCATTTTTTATTTTTTTATTATTATTATTTTATTTTTTTCTAATAAATATGAGATAACATAATCACATAGATTATCCTAATACATGCATATTTTATATTTGCATTCCAATAAAATAGTCCATCTTACGATAAAAACTTAACAGAAAATATGTTACAAGAAATACTGGCGTCGTGTGCACCGAGCTTAAATCTTTGTACTTATTGTTCAAAGAGATTATTTACAAATATCGGGAAGTTTATGCAAGATTCATTTGAAAGTACATAAATTATTGATGAAATATGTTGACCTTTAAACCAAATGATTTTTTAGAAACAATTTCAAAGTATTCATTATGAATAAATGAGTCATATTTAATTTTAATACCGTAGAGCCCCGTTAAGACGATTATGCTTAATACGATTTTTTAGCATAATAAGTCACTTTGATCAGGTTCTGGAAAATAGTCTTAATAGAGTTTTTATGTATATTATGTTGTATAAAAAGTTGTAGATTAGTAAGCTAACGAAGATATAATTATAGAATATCATGATGACAACAAATTAGGTAAATCCAATTAACACTGACGCAAACAGTTTTACTTTTGTTCTGCAAAGTGTTAAGCGGATTTTTCATAATCTCACAAGTGTGTATGTTGGATATTTATAAACGTTCTCTAAACAAGAGTCGTGCTCGAGTTATACAACAATTCATTAACAGAAAATGTATCAACAATCAACAAACATAAACTTTGAGCTCTAAAGTACAGTTAGTGTAATGACATGGACACAACCTTCAAAATGATTCATTATATTTAGAGTTTTTTGCGAACTACGCATACCGTTACACATGTTATAAAAAAACGTCTACGAAAAACGAAAACAAAAACGACAAGACCTTCACCTAAAATTACAAAGCGCGTCTTAATGATTCCGGTAAACGTGTTATGTTTAAATAATAATTAATAAAGTTGCGTAATTGTTTGTTTATGGCAGTGGAGTATAACTTAATCAAGAAAGAATTCTTGAATTTTTTTTTTTGGTTTTTACAGCAGTGACATACTTGACCCGCTCACTATATTATGGAGCCAAATTTTTAAAAACTAGTTGTAAATAGTATTTTACCTTAAGGCAAGTTGCATGAACTTTTAGATTGTATTCATAATCAACTTAATGAACAAGAATTGAGATTCGGCTGTTTAAGTAAAATGTTCAACTATTTCTTTCGAGAATAAAATTTTGCTTTACTATTTTTTTCATTGCGATTTCCAATAGACGTCTTTCAGATATTCTTGTAATATCTGTAATTGTATAAATTAAATTCATTTGTTTAACACTTTTGTTTTCATCTATTCCGCGTTTTAAAAATGTTATTTATTCAAGTGTGGTCGTCAACTGTAATCAGTAGCTACCTACGAAACTTGCGTATGCTTTTGATTAAAATCGCTCTACCTGGCGGAAAAATTATAAGCTTTGATGTTTTTTATAATTCAACCGCTTATCGTAGGTTATATTTATTTTATTATTATCGTAGGTAATATTTTAGTGTTATTTTAAACTCTATACTTATACAAAGTTTCATCAAAATCGTCAAAAAAAACACAAAAAAATTTAATTGCGAAAAAAACGGTCTGGCTGATCTTTACCAAAAACTAATCAATATCCTTCGCACAGTTTTTGAATTTTTAAAATTGATTCAAAATTGAGGTCTAAAACGTGGACGAAGCATTTACACTTATTTTGCTGATTAGAAAGAAACGGCTCGACCGAACATCGCGCAAAGCTGATCAACGATAGTTCCTATCGAGATACATCGAATGGCTTTCAAATTTTTGAAATTGTTCCAGCCGTTTTTGAGAAAACGTTTATGAAAGGTCAAAAATCGGCTCACATAATTCAAACACACATAATTTTTTCAAATTT